GTTCACGATATTTGATCTGCCTCGATCTGGTTTTGTAGGTCGCTCTCTATATGTTTTTTCCTCGGTTTTTTCTGATCTTCATTTGTCTCGAACACACTGTATATGTATTCATCTCTCATCCAACTCATACGTCAACTGTCACACGTCATCAGTCATCTGTCACCGGTCATCAACTGACATCTGTCATCGGTCATCAAATTGCAGAATTTTTAAAACTGTCTGATGTCATAAATTATACCGGGCATATATAGTTTCAGAAGAACCTTGGCAGGTTTACTTGCAAATTCTGGAAGAGACATTCTTGCTTGAAAGTCTACGAATATCGCTGAAGGGTATGTGCAGCAGTCTCACAAAATAGCAAAATATTTCGAACCAAATTGTGGGTCACCGAAGTTTTTTATGAAAATATCACGGAAACTGCATTGGCTCCAGATCTCACTTCTAGTTGTATTCTATAATAATCACTGCTCAACAGTTACTTTCAACTTTAGTTTATACAGGGTGAGTCATGAGAAACTGTACATGCTCCTACTACGTATAGAGACACCTGAGGGGAATACCAAATGACCATCAGAAAGTGTCTCCGTCTCTTCAAAAATAATCTATAGGGTGATTTATGGGGTATGGCCAAAAGTTCTTTCAATCCGAGTTTCAATCATAACTTTCCAACAGTTCTTTCGATTCCTTCCAACTGACGTATTCAGAATCGTAAAAATCCAGGACCGGTTTTGAGAAATTCTGCCAATTTGGTTCATATCAAATATTTCACCCAGTATAAGGTTTTAGTGAACTGTGATATGGAATTTGTGGAGTTGATGAACAGGCAACCAAAATTAAGTATTTCAAATTCTCCTCACACGTCCATTGAATTTCTTAGAAAATGATTAATTTATACTACACGCGAAACTTGGGCAACACATGTATTAATTTGAAAATTAATACTTCGCAATGCATGAATTTCACGAATAAAAGTAAGGATAAAATTATTCCTAATATTCCAGCTCGACAATAATCATTATTCTATCATTTCCAGGGTTGGACTCAGTAATTTTTTGATAGAGGGTAATAATCACCAAAAATTTCACCCTGTATATGATTTTAGTAAACTGTGACATTTTTCAAGTTGACAAACAAGCAATCATAATAAAGCATTCCAAATTGTCCGTACTGATTTAACGAGTTTCTTCAAATAATAATATCAATTATCACCAAACACGAAACTTTAGCAAAAATAAATCAATTTCAAAATTAATACTTCGCAACGCTTTGATTTCACGTATCAAAGCAAGATTTACATCAATTCCAATTCCTAATCTCAATGATAATCAACATGACCATAATTTCCAGGGTTGTATTTCTTTTTTTTGTGGAAAGTAATAATCATCCTGTATGATGTTATAGTAGGTAATGTGATGGACGAATGTTATAGCTTGAATCATTCAAATATTCGATTTGTAATAGAGATTCTGAGTATTTCTGATAATATTCCAGATTTCAGTTGATGACCCGTCTGTTGAGAGAAGTTGACTGGAAAATTCTTGTTTCGAATTTTCATAATATTGCGGATTTCTAAAAAACACTACAAAAGATTTTGACGTCAATGATTTTCAAAATTTGCACATACCATTATGATAAAATCATACAGTGTGACTAATGCTATTTCCGTCTACCAAAAAATTACTGAATCCAACCCTGGATATAGGAGAATGTTCATTTTCAGTGAAAAATAGGAAATTATGTTATTCTTGCTTCCATTCTTGAAATTCTAGCGTTGCGGAGTAATAATTTTCAAATCAATAGGTACATTTGTTGCCAAAGTTTCGCGTGTAGTGAAAATTGATCGTACTCTAAGAAATTTGGTGAAACTCTGAGGAAAATTTAATTTATTTCATTTTGGTTGCCGGTTCATCAACTTTGACAATTCCATGTCACAGGTAACTAAAACCATATACAGGGTGAAAGTTTTGGTGATTATTACTCTCTACTAAAAAATTAGTGAATCCAACCCTGGAAATAAAAGAATGTTGATTATTGTTGAACTGGAGAATTGGGTATAATATTATACCTACTTTCATTCGTGAAATTCATGCGTTGCGAAGTATTAATTTTCAAATTAATACATTTGTTGCCAAAGTTTCGCAGTGTAGTATAAATTAATCGTTTTCTAAGAAATTTAATGAAAGTGTGAGGAAAAGTTGAAATACTGCATCTTGGTTGTCTGTTCATCAACTTCGAAAATTCCATAACATAGTTCACTAGAACCTTATACAGAGTGAAATTTTTGATATAAACCAAATTGGCAGAATTTCTCAAGACCGGTCCTGGATTTTTACGAATCTGAATACGTCAGTTGGTTGCTGAGTGACAGCATAATAATCCATAAAAAAATGAAAGGAATCGAAAGAACTGTTGGAAAGTTATGATTGAAAGAAGTTTTTGCCATATCCCATAAATCACTCTATAGATTATTTTAGAAGAGGCGGAGACACTTTCTGATGGTCATTTGGTATTCCCCTCAGGTGCCTTCATTCGTAGTAGGAGCATGTACAGTTCCTCATGACTCACCCTGTATAATAATTATTACTCTACCACAAATTGAAAATATGTAGGATGCAAGAGTGAAAATAACGTGCCCATAACCCAGACAGCACCAGATATTCCATGAATCTCCCTATCATATTCCTTTTGGAATATTGGAATATTCTAGAAATAATCTGCAATATTCCGGAATATCTGTGGAATATTCTCTAAATATGCGAATGGGAATTCCTCAGATAATCATAGAATATACCCAAAAGAATATTCTATGTTGAATGTTCCTGGAATATTCCAATAAACATATTCTAAAATAAAAAAAGTGACCCAAGTAGGGATCGAACTCGTGACCTCAAGACTATCAGAGCAAAACGCCTTGACCACTAGGCCACTAATCGAATTGAATAATGTTATACACATATCAAGTTCTTGTGAGAGCATTGTTCGAAATCGGATCATAAACACTTTTTGTTTCAAAATCCCCTAACGTCTAATTGATGTTCGATACTCACGACATCTCTGAAATAAGAAATGGTACTTATGTGTTGAGAAACATAGGAATATTCATGGAATATTTCATGAATATACACCACAGAATATTCAGTTGAGAATATTTCATGAATATACCGCACAGAATATTCAGTTGGGTATATTTCATGAATATACAACAGAGAATATTCAGTTAGGAATATTCCTGGAAGATTCATACCTGAATATTCCCTGAACATGTCCGACTATTCACTTTGGAATATTCCTTTTAGATGTTCCAGAGGCATGTATATATTCTAGGAATAATCGATGAATATTCGGAATATAATCCTCCTTTTTAGAATATTTAGAGAATATTCTATGAATATCCAGTGCTGTCTGGGAAGTTATACTGTAAATATACCTACTTCTTTGTTACTTTCATCAATAAATTATTTGGAAATGACTTTTTATTTGAGCAGGGAGGCAGAAGAATCATGTGTATACTATGGGGGTGAAGTATATTCTATTCTTCATTTCCCTGCAATTTCACGTATTACTTTTTATAAGCCTACTTTATTTCGTCCTAGAATTCGCTCTGAGCACCCGGTGTTTCCATATTTACCTTTTCGTACGTAAAAAGTTACGCCCTCTTCCAATTTCGACGAAGTAAAAAGGAGTAAGTATGTGAACATTATGAGATTACCGTAAGCCGCATAGGCATCAAACAATAACCAGTACTTTTCGAATTATACCGGGTTAGTCATTGAAATGGGAAAGTGCGATAACGCCTTTGCTGTTTGAGATAGATGCACAAAAATTGTTGTGATGATCTAGGCTCATGAGAAGCACATTTCCAAAATATTTCGCTTCATACAGGGTGACTTAAAAATGCGTTACGTATCAGGGTTATACTTTTTCTTATGGGACACCCTGTATTTCATTGCATTTTCGGATACTCTTTTGTGAGCTGATTTCATCAATGCATCACACTTGGGTCTAGCAAGAATGATTACAGAGATAAAGGGGGTGCAACATCGAGATATTTCAACTTTAGGATTTTTTTGGGTCGAAACTATTCATTATTGGTCAAAACGGCATACATGTCCCTATCTTAACTTTTGATTTTCTATCTACTCATATTTGATTTGAACGAATACAGGGTGGTTCATAATTCTGAGTTTTCAGGTTATATTACTTGATTATGTCGCCGTGGTGTAACAGTGGAGAAAAAAAGGTCTTCCCTTTAGCTCCCTTTGCTCATTCAAAATAAAATTTCTGGCAGACACTGGTTCAGGACCTCCAGGAGCCGTCTATCTATACAACCACTATAACTTGTAAAAGTAGCATGAATTGCCTAATCATAAAGGGCCTGCTATAAATCATACAGGACACTGCCCCAAACCAAAGAGGTGAGTGTGATTCATCTCCGATAGATAGCGAGAGGAACAAAATCCCAAGGTTGGTAGAATCGATGACTATTCGTGGAGGAAGTTTACCACGATCAGCAGGAAGCGGTGAGAACTGAGGGGCAGTGTAATTCGTGACGTACTTCCATCGAAAATTTCATTTCGGAGTCATGGGAAACTGTATTCTACAACTGCCTTCGAGTAAATGAACTAATCCAGCTGTGATATAGAATTATACATACATTTCTATTATCCCAACAGGAAATATTGGATGCAATTAAGTCACAAATTACCACTTCCCCTCACAGTTTTTTCTAATAGACATTCTACAAATGATGAATATTTTACCAACCTTGCCAAATCCAAGGTTGAATGATTTGATGATTATTCATGGAGGAAAGAGTATAAACGACCAGGTTATTGAAGATGATTTGAAGAAAAATAGGTGATAGCTTTCATTCCATATATTTATGATTGTATAAGTATATGAGTCGAAAATATGTACACAACAAAATGTTCAAACACAAAACAATAAAAAATACCTACTGTTATCACATTGGCAATGAGAACGATATAAAATGAAAAAATTTATACAACGATGAGATGATGTACTGATGAGAGAGAATCTTTCATTTTTTTAGTATTTTGAGTACCCTCCGCTTCCATGAGAAATGCTGGAGTAGCTGGTAGCACCACCATGGCCTCCAGAGCTGAGCGAGATCGAGCTACCTCCATAACCTCCAGATTTTCCAAAAGAGATCGAGCTACCACCGTAACTTCCTGATGAGCTGCCTCCATATCCTCCCAGACTGCTGCCGTGTCCTCCAAGACTACCTCCATATCCTCCTAGACTACCTCCATATCCTCCTAAGCTACCTCCATGTCCCCCAAGACTACCCCCATAGCCTCCTCCAAGACTGACAGAGCTACCGCCATGTCCTCCAAGACCACCTCCTAGTCCATAACCACCTCCAAGTCCATAACCACCCCCAATTCCTCCTCCGATTCCTCCACCGATTCCTCCCCCAATTCCGGATCCTCCGGCTCCACCTCCACCTCCAACGAAGATTGGCTGAGCTACTGGTACTACAACGGTTTGTGGTACTCTAACTGGGACAGGCTGTGGGACAGTGACTGGGTACGGCTGGGGCACTGGAACACCGTAGGGTTGGGGATATGGTACGCGTACTGGAGTTGGAACGGCAACTGGTACTGGACGGTTGACAATTACTGGGTAGGGCCTTGGTACTTCTACGGGTTGTGCTACTGGGACGGGAACCTGGAAAATGTGGGAGTTTATTTGGTGTTTACTTGTATAGACACTCATCAATGACCATGGACGAGCTTTGAACTCAATTGATCATGTTTTCATTCGAAAATAATGTTTATTGGTATTATATTATGTACAGGGTGGAGCAATATTGCGACGGAGCTCGAATGCTCGAGTTATACGATGGCTAGAAACATGATCAAGAAACGAATGGGAATGAGACAATGGAGTCCATCATAGCTACCCGGATAGCACAGTGTCATTCATTGAACGCTTATAGAAAATTTTTCGAGAATATTTGAATATTCTCACAATATGATGTACCTATTCTAGGGATGTTTTATGAACATTCGGAATGGACTGTTCCAAATATTCTGAGAATATTTCTAGTATATTGAAGGAGAATGAAGAAAATGAAAAAAGCTCGCTCTGGTGGAGATGCGAACCTACTATATCTTGTGATTGAATTTTTACGAACCTGAAACCGTAACCACCTCGCCACGAACCTCATTGATGAATGAAATGAATAGCAAGTTAACAACACTGAATTAGTGGGATAATCATCATTGAGGCTAGAGAATAATAGATTATGTCAGGATAAACATTGTAAATATTGACACAAGAATAGGAACATCCATATCATTCATTTTCATACGATTCTGAATATTAGACGTTATCTTGATTTTGCCAAAATCTTCATCGGGTCATAATTTTTGAACGACTCTGTATAATCAAATCATACTTGGTTAAATCATTTCGCTTATATTACACCCAAAACTCAATAGAAGGCCAGGTCCGTCTTGAGGAAAAACAAAAAACTTGTTTTATTTCAAAAACAACATTCTGTTTGGCGAAATTTTGTGTTGTGAATTTGTTTCGATACTATGGAAAGAGCAGAAAAAATTTATGACGTGAACTACTTTTGTCGAGCGCGCATCCCATTTGACTGATGGTTTATTATCATGTTATAAAAAATTCAGCTCCATCTCAAGGCATTTTTATATGATCTCGTGATTCAGAATACAATTTTTATACAAAAACATCATTATAGTCAATGTTGGTGAATTATTGATAGGTTTGTTCGTTTGACCATTGTCGATCTAAATGAAAACCTAGTAGGCGACCTAGTGCGCGATAACCTCCTCGCGCACTAGGTCGCACATCCCTACTAACTACCTAGCTAGGTTTTCATCTAGAACGACAATGGTTTGGCAGAATAACTTTTCAGTGATTTTATATACTTTCGAGAACTCATTTTATTCTTCAATATTCATTCATAAGATGCGGAAAGTAGGCTGTGCAAAAAATTTTCAAATTCTGACAGTTCACCAGTGTGATATTATTGGTAACATTGAGGTTATGATGTTGAGGCATCAATAAAAACACTTTGAAATGTAACAACCATAGATCTAATTACACAACAACCAAATTATCTTACCGTCACCAATAATATCACCCTCTAGTAATTATGAACTGTCATAATATCAGAATATTTTGCACAGCTCATGAATCAATAGTGAAGAATAAAATGAGCCCTCCAAAATTTCTGAAACCACGTACAAGTTATTTTGTCAAACGAAAAAATCTGTCGATAGTAACGAGTTAAAAAAAAATGCCTCAAAATGGAGCTAAGTATTTTAGAAAATATCAATAAAACGTCAAATCGAATGCGCGCTCGTAATAAGTAGATCAATTTAGTCGATTTTCCCTGCTCTTTTCAAATATCGAAACAGATCTAAAAAATTTTGCCATACAGGGTGTTGTTATTTAAATAAAAGAAATTTTCTGTTTTTCCTCAAGACGAACATGGTTTCTGATCCCGATTTTCATTTAGTTTTGATTGGTAATATGAGTGAAATCTTTCTACCCAGTTTGGATAGATTAAACAAAGTGGTTCGAAAGGTATGACAAGATGAAGATTTTGATAAAATCAACATAACGTCCTGTATCCTAGTTATAAAAGAGGGTTGACACATCCATGGGGGTGATTTGGAACCATCAAAGTGTCCTCTATCTAGAGGTGTCGTATGTATATTTGAACCTGGAACACCCTCTGTATATAGGGGGGCATCAAAAAAAATCTGAGGAAACAAGGGAATCATTTGTTGATTATTTTCTTGTTACAAATAAATGAGAAGCTCCATCTTCGAAAACATTTTCTTGAAATGTTCATTGTTGACTGATAATGATATCTCGCTTGTGATTCGAACATTTGGATGCATACTTTACTGCACTTCTGTTATTTTATATTTCTCACTTATCAAATTTGGTTCGTATTATTCACTCACCTGTACTGGCCTGGGTACTGGAACAGCAACAGGTTGTGGTACTGGTACTGGCACCGGCCTGTTCACGGTCACGGGGTATGGTTGTGGCACAGGTACGGCAACAGCCTGGCTTATGGTTGTCACAGTGGCACCACCGCCACCACCACCACCAGCACCTCCTCCGAAGCCTCCTCCAAGTCCTCCGCCAAGTCCTCCGCCAAGTCCACCACCAAGTCCTCCTCCATAGCCTCCTCCATAGCCTCCTCCATAACCTCCTCCGTAACCTCCTCCATAGCCTCCTCCATAACCACCTCCATAACCTCCCTCGAGTCCTCCATGTCCGTCTAGACCATCTCCACCACTGTAGCCTCCGAGAGAGATACCTCCCTCATGACTTCCAAGGGAGCTGCCACCTCCGTATCCGCTACCGATGTCGCCGGATAGGATACCTCGCTTCTCGTTCTTGTTGGTTTTTGTTGCCTCGCCGCATAAGCCTATACTGGCGACTGCTAACACCAAAGATGCGATCTAGAAATCAGTTATTAATTAATATATAGTTATTTTGGTATCTAGGGCGCGAAATGCTACTTTGGTGATCGAGATCTGATTTTTTTCTACAAACGTCAAGAAATATAGATCTAAAGTTGAAATATATGCTCCAGCTTGATATTATAAATATTGTTGAACTGACTTAAGAGGCATCCCCCTATCCTCCCTAGATACCCACGAACATAATAGGAATTTCCTTTCGTGCGCTCTTAGAAATAAAACTAAGTTATTGTTGAACATTCAGAAATAAATGATTTCGTGGATGTTTGCTCGATTGAGGACCATAAAGTTGAAATATAAATATCTCATAAATTTTACATAGATTTGTTATTAATGCGCGAACTTTGTCATTTTTTGACGTTTGTAGAAAATGGTTATTCTTTTATCTAGAGTGCTAAATGCTACTTTGATGATCAAGATCTGATTTTTTCAACGAGGCGTAGCCGAGTTAAAAAAATAGTCGAGATGACCAAAGTATTTCGCGCTCGAGTTGCAAACAACATTTTTTCTACAAACGTTAAAAAATATAGTTCTGCTTAGCTTGATATATAAAATAGTGTGGAACTGGCTTATAAGGTCTCTCCTTATCCTCCCTAGGTACGCACGATGCTCCACGAACATAATAGGAATTTCCTTTCGGGCGCTCCAAGAGATAAAACGAAGTTATTGTTGAACATTCAGAAATAAATGATTTCGTGGATGTTTGCTCGAAGTAGGTACTTCGCGGACTGTTTTACTTCGCGCATTGTTTTGTGCTAGGTATCATGGTAACGTAGGAAACTGAAAAAAAATGTCACTTCGCAATTTGTTATCAATGCGCAAATCTTGTCATTTTTTGACATGATAATAATAATATTTGACAAAATTTGTATCAGCTCTTCCCGGGTATTTACTGAGGTTTCATAAACTATAGCGCTTTCATACATATGACCCCACACATTTTTGCCAAGCCACGCAGAAAATCGAATTACATCTTCCCGAAAATTTTAGCTCAGAACTTCATCTTCTTTTTTGTTTTCGGAATGAATCAAGTCAGCACCATGACGAGCATGGGCCAGATTTGTTTTCAATCCGAATGAGTTTTCAGTATGGACATTTATTAAAAAGACCAGTATGGATATGACTTTGATACATTGATCTCCCATTGTTTTTTTTTGAAATTTCAGTTTGAACCAACACAAATTTCCACCAGACTTTCGAGTTCAATGTCAGGTGATTTCATCTGCCAATCAATTCAACTTGATGCGCAATTCGAATATGGACTATTTTCAATTGATTGAAGGTTTTCGAAACTAGAATGCTCAAAGAAACTGGAACACTGAAATTTTCACCAATTTTAAATTTGCTGTAATTTTTCGAAAAATGAGTGAATCTTCAGTCGAAAAGCAGTGCTTGGAAGCTGCGTTCTTTCTCTCAAAGATGCATTGTTCAAACACATCGAAATTGTTCAGTCATGACACACCAAGTGTTTGAAAAAAGTGTTACAGAAATGAAAAAGTTTGAGTGCACCCGTATTCCACAGGTGTGGAAATTTTTGTAGCATTTCCAATTATGTGATGAAAAAATTTATGAGAGAAAAGTTCCTCAATATCATGGCAGCCCATGGAAGTCTGAAAATCACTGAATATTTGTTACTGTTCGTATAGGTCAGAATAATCCAGAAGTGCCCCCTTACGTTCCATTGAATTGAGATATATGAAAAAGCACGTAATTGTCCCGAGATATTGACCGGGGCAGTTGATCTACATGAGGAATTCTTGTTTCCAATAGCATTTGGTCATCGCAGCATCGAAAAAAGGAATTGTTTTTCTGTTAAAGATGTTCATGATTTCAAAGCGATATGAATTAATCTTCTAGGATGTTCTCGATGGTAAAACGAGGCAAAATGGTTTGAATATTGGCCTCGAAACTTTTGAATCCGCAGTGGTGCGATGAAATCCAGAAAATCGAAAAAAAAATCGAATTTCGTATGAGAAATATCGAAAATTCCAAAAACATTTCCAGATATCGTCTCAGGCGTGAAAAAATAATCATGTAAAATACGGGGGTACTTAACACTTCCCATTTCTGTAACAGTTTTGCCAAACACTTGGTGTGTCATGACTGAACAATCACGATATGTTTTGAACAATGAATCTTAAAGAGGAAGAACGCATCATTCGAGCTTGGCCTTCCAATTGAATATTAATTCATTTTTAGAAAAATTATGGTAAATTCGAAATTGGCAAAAATTTAAGTGGTCAACTTAATACTTCGAGCACTTTATAATAAAACGGGTATATTCCCTGAACTACTGACGCAATATGTTGTAGCATCGGAAAAGTTTGTAAGAATTTTCGACGTCTTAACCAGGAAAACGCTAATATATTTTCTTATCAACATGAAATTTCCTCGAATTAGGAGTGGGAGAATTGTATAACCATTTATAACTTGGGATCAATGGCTTTATGCCAACTACCGAGCCAACTACTCACAATATGATATGTGATTTTTCTGGTCGGAACCTGATTATAACAATAAGATTATTCAAGATATTTCTTCCTATAGATATCTGTTATACGAGAGTATAGAGCAATTAGGCATGATGAGAAAACCATGTTTTCCAAATTCTCCATATAGCATCATGAATTCACTGGAAAATTATAGGTAACAAATACCTACACTCTTCTACTCACACGTGTGAATCTTGCCTTGTCCATTTTCGAAAATGAAAGTGAAAACAAGTAAATTCTCAAAGAAGGTTTTCTAATCAAAAAAGACCATGGGGTTTGAATTATTCATGTATTAAATAGATATGCATTCTCAGCATACTCGGTATATTATTATGACTTACCAAAAACGGTTTCATGGTGATGTGTGTACTCGTTGTGAATGAAGCACACTTAACAATGATGTCTACCCCTCTGAAGAGGCGGCTTATATACGTATCTCTTGGAGAGGGTTCCTCCCCAATTCAAGATCAAACTAACCACTCACCGTTGGAAGACTTTCACTGGGTGCATCTCGATGGTACCTATGCCGGTACCGTACCCACATACAGTAACGCGAATCAGATGCATCGGTGCATGTGTGAATAAGGTGCAGAGGCAAAAAAACTGTTCCTAATAGATACAAAGTAGTATAATCTAAGGTTTTACGTATTTACCAAAATTATAATTTATTGTTAATGGATTCAATTTTCTCGAACATTGTCATTGAAAGGAATACATAATTTTTAAAATGTTGACTAGATGATCACAGAGTTTGTTCATAGAGTTTATAGCTATCTTTGAAAAGTAGTAGCATACTCAGGAGATCTCGAAATAGTAAATATTCAGTTCTGGATGAATTCTAGTTCCGACTGAAGCAGCAGTAGTTTTTAAGAACTCCAAATCATGATATGAGAATTGTAAATCTTGAAATGAAACTACTACTATCAATATGAAAAATAGATTCCCTTATGACTAAGGATTAAAATCGGATTCGTATATTTACAATTCGAATATATGTATGTAGATTTCGTTAGTTAGAATGTTAACAGTGAAATGACCCGATTTATGTTAGGTTGCCTATTTCACAAATAACGTTCGTTAAGGACAAATTGATCGTTGATATTACTCATTAAGAATCAATTTTGTTCACATCATTCAAATATGTTGATACGAAGTCGACAGAAAAAATATTAACCGTGACACAGACTATTCTTGCCTCCAATTATCAATAACTTCGGGAACTATACCAGTTCCACGCTGAAAAATTGATTTTGAACCTTGGTAATTACTATTTTTCATGATAAAGAGATGAACATCAACAGCCCAGGTAGCAGAGTGACGCCCAATTGACGTAATTTTTTGGTTATAAAATGAGTGGACGTCCTAAAAGTACCTATGATGAGGTCAGAATTTCACAGCCATTAGACGTCATATTTAGCCGTGATGATGACGTCGCAAAATGATGTTTAAATGACGAAATAATAGAATTTATGGGGTATATACACTATACAGGGTATGTCATGCCGAGCTTACACTATCTTTATATCTGGAATCAGTCGGGAGAAATCCATGAAAATGTGCATGCTTCTATTTCAGAATAAGCTCTCCTTATTTAAAATAGTTTCGACAATGCAGTGTTGCCGCTTCTACTAGAAAGCAGTAGCAACATTGATATTTCAAACGGAACACCTTATATACTCTATCGCATTTTCAGATTCTCCCTGAAGAGCTGATTTTATCGATGTAGATTTCAGAGATATGTGTTCAAAATCGAGATTTCTCAACTTTAGGATTTTTTTGTGTCGAAACCATTCATTATCAGTCAAAACGGCTTCTATGTTCGCGATAATTTTTTCAAAAAGAACACCCTATATATTATTTATTTCTTGAAATATCAATGTACTACAAAAATTGAATGATAGTTAGGGTGTTCCGTTTGAAAAATGTGTCATAACTCGAACGTATCATCTTGTATCTTTGAATTTTCCTCATAAATGTTACGAATTGAAAATAAAGTCTCTCCTGCTTCAGAAGATTTCTCGATGATGTATAATATAGATGAGAGCATAATATATATCGAATTTATTGGAAAATGGACGCACTGATATACAGGGTATGTCACGACGAGCTTACACTATCTCTATATCGAGAATCAGTCGGGAGAAACCCCTGAAAATATGAATGCACTCCTTCATTTAAAATATTTTCGGCAATGCAGTGTTGCCGCTTCGATCAAAAAGAAGCATCAACTTTGTTATTTCAAATGGAACACCCCTGTATTTCATCGCATTGTTAGATTCTCCCTGAAGAGTTGATTTCATCGATGTATCACACTTGGGGTCTATCGAGAAAGATTACAGAGAAATAGGGTGTTCAAAATCGAGATTTTTCAACTTTAGGATTTTTTTGTGTCGAAACTATCCATTGTCGGTCAAAACGGCTCACATGTTCCAATCTCAACTTTTGATTCACTATTTATTCATATAAAATCGGGACAGATACAGGGTG